GGATGGACAGGAGACAGATCCAGCCATAGAGCCTCCAGAAGGAACTAGCCCTGCCAACACCCGGATTTTAGCCCAGTGAGACTCATTTTGTACTTCTGTCCACCAGAATTATAAAACAATAAATTTGTATTGCTTAACAAGAAAAGGGGGAGGGCTAGGAACATTAACTCTAAACAAATAAAACGTATCCAAGCTGCCTATAAAATTAGAAAAATACGCTAAAATGCTATTGTGATTGTTCTATGTACATTCATGTGTTAGAATTGTGGGAAAAGTTTTTTTCTTAGTTTTTTTTTTTTTCTATTATGTTTATACTGCAGTGTCTTTGTCAGTTTGGGTACCTATAACAGATTACCATAGATTGGGTGGCTTGAACAATACATATCTATTTCTCACAGATCTGTATGGCGAGAAGTTCAAGATCAAGGTGCTAGCAGATCCAGTGTCTGGTGAGGTCCCACTTCCTGGTTTGTAGATGGCTCTGTTCCTGTTGGAGTCTCACCTGGAGGAGAGCAGAGACACAGATACCCTGTCTCCACTTCTTTTGATAGAGACACTAATTCCATGATGAGGGCCCCATCCTCATGACTTCATCTAATCTTACTTTCCAAAGGCCTCATCTCCAAATATCATCACCTTGGGGGATAGGATTTCAGCATATTAATTTTGAGGGGACATATTCAGTTCATAACATATAATTTTTTAAATCTAACAACAAAAATTCATAGTAAACATGCATAAATATGCTCACTGACTCTTCTGAAGATTCAACCCCAGACAGATCCATATGGATGTCTGTAAAGCAGACTCTTCTCTATCTCCCCTCTAGGCCTTCCTCACACCCATACACACACATTCTGTGCTATCATACTGTTTGTTCTTTAACAAGTGACTCCAGGGTGCAACCCCAAAGTATCATCCCACTTCCTTTCTCTGTCTGGCACTCTTGGGCCCATCCAGAAAAACACAAGGAAGATTGGTCAAATCATGTATGTTCCTTCATGGCATTTTATATCATCTGCCTCTGACTCCTCATCTTCTGTTCTACTCCCCCAGCCCATGGGCTGGGGCACACCCTGGCTTGCTCAACTGTCATCTCCCTTGCTAGCCTGTGTTGAAGGTTGCCAGAGTTGTGAAAATTGTCCACATGACAGCATGTGACCGTTAGACTTTTGTCTCTTGTCAAGTCTTCAAGAGTACCTGGGAGATAGTTGTCTCTAGAGGGCACTTCCCATAAGGTTTGGATAATTGTTGAAGAGGTCTTCTAGCAGAATGGTTCTTAAAGTGTGCTCCCTAGGGCATTGGTATCCCCTGTGAACTTAGAAATGCAAATTCCTGGACCCCACCCTGGCCTATTGAATCAGAAACTCTGAGGGTGGGGCCCAGCAATTTGTGTTGTATCAAGCCCTCCAGTGGATTCTGAGGCATGTACAATTTGTGAATTTTACATGGTTAGCTTGGTCAGCCCTCTCACCCTTAACTTCAGCCATCAGCAGCCTTCAGACGCCTGGGGATTAGACATTAATATTAAACATATATGTTTAATATTAAAACGTTTTCTCCATATTTGAAGTGGTGTTCTGTGTTTTCTTAGATTCTGTATTCGTCTGTTTGGCATCCATTAATCAAAGGACCAGACTAATGGTCAAAATTGTTTATACCTCTTCTGCAATCCACCTTTTGTGAAGATGTAAAAATCATATTATTGCAAACCCTCCAACCAATTCCAAGTTCATACTTCTAGCCACCCCATTTATTTTTTTTTGTTTTAAACTGTATTAAAATCATATATAAATAGATATATATGATAAAAATAAGAGTAATTATTTTTCTTTTTTTCCCTTTTTTCTTTACATTTTTTCTTTTTTTGAATTTCAGAATATTATAGGAGTACAAACGCTTTGGTTGCATAAATTGCTTTTGTGCCATTTGAATAAAGTTATAAGTGTACCCATCCCCCAGATAGTATGCTTTGTACCCATTACGTATGCATTTATCCATCCCTTCCTCCCCTCCACCTGTTTGATTTCCCATGAATGCTATTTCCACATATGCACATGTGTTCATTGATTAGTTCCAATTTAATGTTAAGTACATGTGGTGTTTAGTTTCCCATCCCCACAATACTTCACTTAGAAGAATGGTCTCTAGTTCTATCCAGGGTAATACAAGAATATTAGTTTACATTTTTTTATGGCTGAGTAGTACTCTATGGTATACATATACCACATTTTATTAATTTACTTGTGTATTGATAGGCACTTGAGTTATTTACACAGCTTTGCAATTGTAAATTGTGCTGCTATAAACATTCTAATGCAGGTATCTTTTTTATGGAATGCTTTTTTTCCTTTGGGTAAATACCCAGTAGTGGGATTGCTGGATCAAGATGGTAGTTCTTTGAGGCCTCTCCCTACTACTGTCCATAGAGGCTGTACTAGTTTGCAGTCCCACTAACAGTGTATGAGTGTTCCTACCTCACAGCATCCAAACCAGCATTTGTTATTTTAGGACTTTTTGATAAAAGCATTCTCACTGGAGTGAAGTGATATCTCATTGTGGTTTTGATTTTCATTTCTCTGATGATTAGAGATGTTGAGCCTTTTTTCATCTGCTTGTTGGCCATTAGTCTATTTTCTTTTTGGAAAGTTTCTGTTCATATCCTTTGCCCACTTTTTAATGAGGTTGTTTGATTTTTTTTTTTTGCTGATTCGATCGAGTTCTTTATGGATTCTAGTTATCAGCCCCTTATTGGATGTATAGCCTGCAAATATTTTCTCCCATTCTGTAGGTTGTCTATTCACTTTAATAACTGTTTCCTTGTGGCTATGCAGAAGCAATTTAATTTGATAAGGTCCCATTTATTTATTTTTGTTGTTGCTGCGATTGCTTTGGGGGTCTTCTTCATAAATTCTTTGTCTAGACCAATGTCTGTAAGAGTTCTTCCAATATTTTCTTCTATATTGCTTATAGTTTTATGCCTTAGGTTTAAGTCTGTTATCCATCATGAGTTGATTTCTGTGAGTGGTAAGAGGTGTGGATCCTATTTCAGTCTTCTACTGTTAGTCACCCCCTTTATCTAACTCTCTCACCCCAAGCCAACATTTTCTGTGCACTAAATTGTCCATGGCCAAGTACCCCATACAACTACAGACCACCCTTATAGCCTAGCCTGCTGACATAATTTGAACTAGCCAATTCCAAGCTGTTTCCCCTTTCCTGCATTGCCTTTCCCACAGAAACCTCAATAAAAGCTCTGGCCTGGACTTTCCCCTCACTCCTGCTTCTGCCTCCTGACCAAACCTGGTGATTTTCCACGGTTCCCTGCATGGTATGGCATACTCTCAGCTCTCGGGAAATCCAGGTAATAAAGATCTTTTTTCAATGCATTGACCTCCCTGTGTCATCACAGTCATCTCAATAAATTAAAATCTTGTGGGTACATTCTGAAATAAGTGGCTAATAGAAATAGAATCAATGTGACATGATAACCAAGGAAATGAGAAAATTGGGACAAAGATAAAACAGGAATAGGGAAAATTAGATGAAGCTGGGAAATGTTCATATGCAGCAAGCACCCAGTAAGGCTCCTAGCTTTGTAGAGAAGGAAGGGAAGAGAGACTTAGTACTTCACAACTGCGGAAAAAAGGGAACATATGATCACCTCAAGTAATTAGGGAATCACAAGATAACAATCTAGCAGTTTAGAGAAGCATGGCTCTTCCTGGTTTTGGGAACTGAGATATGTTTCTTTCCCAGATCCTCTCATGGAGACTTGAGAATATAACATCTTTTCTAACTCCCAAGGACAAGCTGTCAGGAGCCATTTCTTGAACTATCTCTCAATTTAGCTGATTGCACAAACCCCAAAGCACATTTTAGTAACTGCCTCTCTTGAGAGATGTTCTTTATGGGTGTGTTCAAGAGTTCCACTGAAAGTTTGCCTTTCTAATGATCTCCCTTAAGCCAAAGAGAAACTGTAGAGCATTTAGACCTAGTCTTTTTCAGCATTTTAAACACCTGCATTATCATCCAAGAAATTAAATCTTTACTTTTAGGGCTTACCGGTATTAAAAATGACACGTTATTTTCTAAATGTAAAAGTATATTATTAAACGACATGTGGTTATACAATTCAGGCATGCACCTCTTCCCCTTTCCCATTTGAGTATCACTGATCTGGAGACATGGAAGAAGTCCATGTTTTTCAAGAAGTTCTCTTTAAATGCTATTTATTGCAGTCAGCCCTTGGGGTTAGCAAGCATTTCAGAGAAGCAGCTAGTCTATCACCAGATAAGGGCAGCTCTGGTTCTTCAACAGCCGACCGGACCCAGAAGGCTTCCAGGGTGAGGGCAGGTGTGGCCACGGAGGAAGGAGGGAGGGGGAGATGGCTTGTGGAAGACGGAACCCCAAGGGAAGGAGGACCTGGTTTCTGACAAAAGGAGCCCAGATGAATGGCGCCGTGGAGCGGCTCCGAATCTCGGCACTCCGGGGTGCCCCTTCCCCTCAGCTTCAGCAAGATCCCGTGTTTTGATGTGGCAGGCAGGTACGCGCTTCAGTCATGCCCTAGGGCCCAGAGCGCTGGAGGGCGGGGAACAGGCCTGGACTCGCGACACGGAACGTTGCTGGGGACGGACTCCTGTCAGTCATAACGCCCAGACCACTCCTAACTTTCCGGAGCTTGGAGGAGGCGCTGACAGGTCTGAACGCGGTCAAGCAGCAAATGTTAGTTCAGAGGGACGGCTAGCGGTGAGGTCAGCCGCAGGACTGGCGTCAGTGCCCGGGCGGAGCGGAGACCTGAGTCAGGAGGCCGAGGCAAGGTCAGCGGAGCGGGGCGGGCGCCGGAGCGAGGGCGGGCCCGGGGAAGCCCGGCGAGGGGGCGGGGCGGGGCCAGAGGTGGGCTGAGGCCGGAGCCGGCGGGCGGGGGCGGGGCCGGGGGCGGGGCTTGGCCGCGTGAGGCTCGCGCCTGCGCACCGGCGTCCCGGGGGACGGGGCTGCGCGCGCGCCGTGCCCTCGGCCCTGGAGGGCGGAGTCCTGGCGGGCGCAGGCCGAGGGAGGGGGCGCGGCGGCTTTGGAGTCCGGCGCTCCCTCAGGCCGCGGACGCGATGCTGGCTGCAGTGGGCCGGGCGGCGGGGCCGGCGGGGATGTGACGGGCGGCCCCTCGCCTCGCCTTCCGTCCTCGGGCCCGAAGGTCTCTGGGAGACCCGCAACCGGGCCGCGGCTGAGGAGGCGACGCGACCTCCGCACGGTGAGAGCCGAGGTCAGGGCCGGAGCTGGGGCCGGGGTCGGGGCGGGCGCCCGAGGGGGCTCGGGACCGGGGGCGCAGGCCGGGGCGGGGCGGAGACCCGGGCTCCCGCGGCGAGGCTGTGGCGCCCCCGGGCCTCCCGGCCTCCAGGGTGACTTGAGTGCCCCGCGAGCCCGAGGCCGGAGGGCGCCCGCCCTGCGGGCTGTGACAGCGCGCCGGGGCCTCGAACCGCTGGGGCTGCCGCCTTTCCCCAAGGAGAAGTCAGGGCAGGGCTGAGATACCCAGTGATTTCAGAGCCGGGATGCTGGTGAGGGTTGATAGGGGAAAGTACCGGGGTGCCCTGAATGAGTGGGATTTTTTTTTGTTTTTTTAATTACTGGGCCAAAACAAAGACACGCCCTAAAACATAGGCTGAGATAAAACTTTAGTGGATCACACTGTTGCCTTAGGTTCGCATCTCCTCTCTTCTCTTTAGACATCTGCTATTTTTATACATTTTTTTTAATGCACCTACTTTCTTTACAAAGTAAAAGGAGGATTGACTCCTTCGAGGAGGTGGTCCTTGGTGGCTAAGCTTCAGTTCGAATTTCAGTAATTGCAAATTCATCTTTGTGGGCTACCCAGCCAATTAGGCTTGCTGATCCTAGACTAGGCCTTGGCAGTGTAGAAATTACTGATGCTTGGACTCTTTGTGGTCCCAGATTGGAATGTTGGTGTTTCACTCCTATAGGTGAGAGAGATGGAGCTTTAAGCTGTCAGAATAGCCATTTGAAGAGGCATTTTTTTTTTTTGTCCTTTTTTCCTGGGCATTAAAATATTATTGGAACGTATTAATTTGGCCAGTTTTTTTTAAAGCATTGTCTTTTAAACTAGTTTAAAGAGACTTTAGTGATGGCAGCTCTTTAACCAAAAGGAATTTAAGATACTCTCCTGCAAAAAGATAGGCACAAAACATGCCTTCTTATCTATAATCAGTATATGATAAGGATGTAAACATTCCTGAGTGTTTTGTCTGAAGTCAGTCTTCTTTTTGGACCTTACTACTCTTTGCTTCTCTTAATTTATTAAAGCTCTTTACTCTTTCTGATTTGGTTGTTTTCTTTAGTATTCTCAACAACATTGACTTCAAATAATCTTTAGGTTAAAAATTCACACTTTCTTGAACCTTTAGCCATAATTCATACTGTCTTACTTCAGTGTGGTATTGATATGGCATAGTTAAGAAAGTGCTAGAAGACATCTTGAGAGCAGGAACTACCCATTAAAATTTTTTTTATTCTACCTTTCCACATCCAGACGGTACTTTGTGTTGCCTTGAGTCAACTCCTTTGACTGTATGGTGGAAGAAGGGACTTTGATTCCATGTTTAGAAGTCCTTCAGTGACTCAACTCAAAGTCCTTTGCAATTTCTTCGTACTTGTCTACGTTCTAGTTTCATCTTCTACCAGTATGCCAGCCCTCTCCATAAAGACTACTTGCAGTTCTCTGAAGATGTCATCTTCCTTTGTGGTTTTACACTGTTCCTCTGTTGAGAATTCTCTACATAGTAAACAACTTGCCCTTTAAGACCTTACTAAAATATCACCTCTGAGCCTTGTCCAGACACCTCATCCCTCTTGTCTGGACTGATCCCTATGGTCTGCAGTTAGCATTTGTCAATTGGTAGTTAATGATTTGTTTATACATCTGTCTCCACCAGACTTTTGGGATTCTTAAGGGAGGGGACCTTTGCAACTTGAGCACATACTATTGCTTGGCACAGGTGCTCAAAAACTATTTACTGACTGTGTTTTTGAAAAATGGTCCCAGTCTTGAATATAGCTTTAAGGTAGACAAAATGTTAGACTGCTTCATTCAATATCAAAAAACTTAGAAAAGACGAATGCACAAGGTACTTTCAAATATCCAAGAATGAAGTAAAAATTGTTGTGGCTGGTTAGGAAGGAAATGTCAGTTATGATGGAAAAAAACCAGTCCATTTGATGACATGGGAATGAAAAGGACATGACCAGTAAAGATTGCTGCTTCATTGGTTCTAGGTACAGTAATTTGCCCAAAGTCATGTAAGTAGAAAGAGACAGAGCTGGGATTACACACCATGTCTTTTGATGTCTGTGTATTTCACCCTTGCCCCCAGTCTCCTAATTGTAAATCTCAATTGTTCTACGGTCTGATTGGGTATTGTAAGAGACTTGGGTATGTATTGAAAAGGGATGGGGGGGCCTCTATTACGTCAATAGAATATTGAACTTGAAAGAATAAACAGATTATTTGGTTCAACTTTAAAAATTTTACCATTAAACAACTCGAGACTGAAAAGGCAAGTAACCTGCTTGAGGTTCACATCTCCTGACCTCATGCTTGTTTATTTTTCACTACTTCATGGTGCTTTGGGGGAAAATGAAGAAGTTGCTAATTTTTCAGAGGGAGAGCAAATCTGCTCACACTTTCTCCCTCCTCGAATCCATAGCTGCTGCTCCTAGGGACTTAAAGCCCTTAAGTGGCTGAGAAACATGATCATTCATTTGGGGATATATAGTAGAAACCTAACCTTCACCGTTCCACTTGGCCAGATAGTTTTAACTTAAGTGCTTGGGGACCTCTCTCCAGATGCGTCATAACAAGTGGCTTCTGATCACCATATGGAGATCCCACATACAGTTATGTTTTGATGGTAAAATGAGATTTTGGTAGAATAAGGTTACAGCTGGCTAATAGCATGGCTAAAATTACATTTTTGGCTTGCCTGTATGTGAAAACAGCCTGTTACTCTTCTGTGATAGATTTTTGGGAAAAATTGTGAATGCCCATGAAAAGTCACTTTGAAATGTGTACTTAGTGTAGTGTGCCTCAAGTCCAACAGGCTTTGTATTTTACAAACAACTTAATGGTCAAAGAAATAAAAAAACCCAAGCTTAATTTTTCTTACTTATTTCTTGTATAGCTACACGATATTATGATCAAGGCATAAAAGTAATGTTAAATATTTGCTTTTATATTTGTGTTTTCTTTTTGTTATAGTTTTTATACCTTTAAATTATTATACAGTGTTACAGTGAGTTGAGTTACTTATTTCTTAATTATGGGGACATCTAGGTTGCTTGCCATTTTTAAGGTAATGCAGTTAGTGTATAGGGGTTCATTTTGTTTCTTTTCTTTAGGCTAAAGGGTCAGGAGGGGAATTACAAGGTCAGAGGGTATGAAGGTTTTGTTAATTTTGGGAAATATTACCAGATTTACTTCTGAAAGACATTGATTTACACTGTCTTCAGGAGAGTTTGGTCAACCAGATCTATTGTACTTTTATAGGATTTTGTTTTTAAAAGTTCATTTTTTTAAAAATACAGATAGATACTTGCTATCTAACATCACAGTCCACAATAGAAAAGCAAATGCAGTATTTTTCTAGTTTTGTTTTTTCTTTTGTATGAATTATTCATCCTTTGCCTATAAATTTACTGGAATCTTCTAATTTTCATTAGTACTAACACCATAAATAAATTAATCTTTTGAAAAATATTTCTGATCTATTTTTATTTTTATTATTGAAAGCTTTGTAGTTTTTATATTATTAAAATCACTGACTTTTAAAGATAATTTTATGATTTTTGTCATTTGATTGTAAGATCTGAGAATGAATGTCACTCTACTATGTGATGCATACTTTTTTTTTCTTTTCTTTTTTTTCTTTTTCTTTCTGAGCCCTCTTGCTCAGGCTGGTCTTGAACTCCTGAGCTCCAACGATCCGCCCACCTGGGCCTCCCAGAGTGCTAGGATTACAGGCTTGAGCTACCATGCCCAGCCCAATATATTGGTTAATTGAAGTTTTTGTTTGTTCAAGATTAGCCAGAAGGTTGTTTCTGATTTAACTCTTATTGTTAATCATTCTAAAATATATGAAAGCAAACCTTGATTATCTGTTCCTTTTGGGGAGTGAGCTATTCTAGATAGATGAGATAGCCCCAGCTAATAGTTAACGTTGAGTACTGGGTTCTGTGCTGGTTACTTGGCATGGAGTTTCCTACCTAATCCTCATAACAACCAGAGGAAGTAGGTTCTTTTAGTATTCTCATCCTGTGGATGAGAAAATTTAGAGATGGAAAGTGATCTGCGAAAGGTGACATAGGTGGTAAGCATTGGAACTGGAACTCAGACAAAGTCTGCCTGATTTTAAAAGATGCTATTTCCTGTGATGAGGATTTGGACTTCATAAACATTAGAAAGATACTAGATTGTTCAAAACAAGGGGATGATATGGTATGTTATCTCTTTTAGGGAGATGGCTGATGTGACAGTGTGGGAATATATTGAATTGTGTTTATGATAGGAAATGGTTGAAATAGGTCATATGAGAAATGAAGCCTAAACTGTGAGATGGAAGGAGAGATCAGGGGATATTTTGGAAAGATACAGGACTTAGTAACAGATTTACAAGAGAGTGGGAAGATGGAGTGTTGATTTGGAGACACTAAGTGGCATAATGATAGATGAGTATGTGCTCATAGCACTTTGGTATATTTCTTTCGTAGCATTGACTGTGATGTATTGTACCTAATCTAGTGACACATCTACCTCCCCTACTGGATTGTGTTCTTGTCAAGGACAGGGACTGAGTAGAAGGCATGAGCAAATACAGGATGAGATAATACAGAAAGAGGGCCAGAGACTGAATTAGGAAATACCAAATCTCCAAAATCAAAGAGTGGGTGGAGGAAGAGGAGCTCTAGTATGTGACAGCTGTCAGGGAGGATGGGGAAGAGCCGTCAGCAAGGGAGCTGGGGGAGGAAGTGTTAGCACTGAAGTGAGCATACAGAATGCCATCTCAGGCTACAGACAGTTCTGGTTGGTGTGACCAAACATGATGAGCTGATGGCTAGTGGTTGTATAGAACTAAGTGGTCTTTCCTTTGTTACTAACTTCTTTTTTTCTCCCCATACTTTCCTCAAAGTATCTGGTGGCTTCCTGCCTCTTAGCTTCTAACTTGCTGTAGGTGCTGATGCTGGGGTGTGACTCAG